CAAATAATAAAGGTACTATCTAAATACCTGGGATAAAATGTTGTGTTTTGGACTTCATGTTTTTGTTTTTTGTTTTCCTTAGTTAACCATGAAGTTATCTGGCGGGATAGGCTCTAGTAATTATTTCATAGTCATTTTAGCTGTATTACTGATGTTTAAATAATATCAGCTATAGCGGAAATGTATTCTCCTTAGCTTTTCATTTTGTTGATTTTCCTCCTAAATATATTGATCTGAATCATGGGAGCTTAGGCCGATATCCAATCGAAGCAGAACTTACAATGACTATGATTAACTGACTAATTAATTCTTGGGATGAGTGACAATTGGATTTTATTCATAAATTTTAAATTCGTCCTTTATTGACTGAAGTTATCTTCTGAAATAACGTCAACATTGCCGTTTATATTTGTTTCACATACTAAATTTTTATGGTGCTCGTTTTGTAGTTTAATGGACAGTTAAATGGTATTTTGTCATTTCAGGTAAAAAGGAATCACTTATCGAAACAGTGCCAAGCTAATGTACACACAAACCCTCGTGGAAAAGTGGACTTTCTATTTTTCTGATTTCTAACTTCCTGTACATCCTTATGTGTAGCATAAAAATCATCCTAATGATTTATGACTATTCGCGAAACTAGCGAATTTGTTTTGTATATGTATTGTAAAAGTGACACACATAAATATTACTAGTAGTATTGGTTACCAGCCATTGACGTATGTTGGTTAATTCATTAAGAAACGTGAAATTCTGTACACATGTTCAGTTAGAGCCTTTCATAGAAGTGGGAAGTTTCGAAAGTTTGCTTTAGTTACAGTTTAAAAAGAGTTTAACCGGTGTGGAAAAAATGCGATTTCTATTAGGTAGGAGGGTTTTAAAGTAGTTCGAATATATTTAGTGACAGACCAATATTTCTGCTCTAAAAATATTTGGAAAATGTGTCGCATTCGAATGAGAGTATATTACCGGTTTACTGATAGAAACACATCACTTTCATTTCAGTTTTTTAATTACAAAGACGATTTGTTTTAAAACTCTGTAACAAATTTATGAAGTAAGGATTTTGAAGTAACCTTCGTTACATATTACAATAGTTTCACTGTTGCGTATAATAGAACCTTAGAATATAACTTAACCAACAGTACGATTTGTATGATTTAAAGATTGATTTTCACTTTAGACCATCTATTAGACCTGTATTACAGAAGTTGGATCAGGTTGGATTTATTGAGTAAACACAGTTAATGATGAAGAAGCTGTTATTTATTTAAAATCAGGAATAACTGTGGTGTGTGTTACTGATGTCGACAGATATAAGTAGTATGTATCATCAATCGAATGTGAAATGACCAGAGGTAGAAGGTTAAGAATAAGGAATGATTGGTGTAGAAATGAAGAGACAATGAAGTCTGAGACGACTGATTGACATTTTGCAAATAAAGTATTTGCTGTGTGGTTCTCAAATCTTACTAAGATATTCCGTAATTTTGTATTCACATATATTCGATTGTCCCCACTTATGTTCACGTTCACTACGTACTAAGTTTCTACTTCTTATGATTGTTTAACCAATATTCCATTGATAACTAAGAATTTCGATTTACGATTGTTTTCTAATGGTACTTTTGAATAATAATTTATTTTAGTAATTAATTTTCTTTAGAATATATCTCTTTAGAATGATTGTTCTTATTTGCAACCAAGTTACTTACACTCTTGTTCTCACTTCAACTGTTACTAATTACTGACAGTTATATATTGTTTATTACAGTGACAATAAACTATTCCATTCATAAGTAATTGATGAAAAAAATGTACTCAATGTATCGTTACCATATGTTCAATTTTCATTGTTTCACTCAAATAGTTCACTTATTAATCAATATTTAAATTTTTATTATACAATCAGTATAATGTTGTTTTTAGAATATGGGTTATAAGCACTTTAATAAAATGAGACTTTCACAAGTCATTAATATATTGTAAATCTTCTTACTCCAGATACGAATATAGTGAATTTGTATATGGCCTTTTTTTTAAAATTAATGCCCTTTTTTATTATCAAAATCTACCATAATGATTTATTAGGATTTTAGTACATGAATCTAGTCATGCTGTCAAAACAAAAAATTTTATTGATTGGTGAGTAAAATAAATTAGTTACAAGCTTATCAACCGTTAACTAAGGTTATATCTGGTTAGGTTTGAAATTACTGGTTGTTATTTTTTTTTCTTCAGTAAAAGTGGAACATAAGTCTAACGCGATAATTTCATTGTTTGTTGCATTTGAATTCCCGGATCTATGATATGTTTTGTTTTGATCCGATCTTTTAACTTTCCAATTAAGTGAAAATATGCAACTATGGATAGTGTACTGATATTCACTTTGTCAAGTGTTTGTGTTTTATTTTTTACGAAGTGATGTAAATAATAATTCACTTTTTATGAAATAGTTCATTTCACTAACTCATTTTGTATAGATTAAATATCAGCGTGAACATCAACACTGTGGTTCAGGTGAACAACGAAATCATAAGTGGGCAAAACTCTCATCGCGGATCTTATTGCTACCCATAATCCATCAACCTTGTATAGTTATATCACTCATTTTCTCAACCTAGTATCGTAGTGAATTTAACACGAAAACACAGTAGACTTAACTACTTACACCTGTTACCCCTCGTCGAGTAGCATAGGCTGCCCACCAGCATTCTCCATAGAACTCTGTCCTGGACAATCCCTTCCCGTTGCTACTCATTCTTTTGATGTAGACTTCTAATTCTCGACACAATGTGTTCTTCCGTCTTCCTCTTTTCTGTTTTCCTTCAGGATCGCTAGTTAGTGCATGCTTCGTGATGCAGTTTGATGACTCCTGCAATGTATATCCTACCCACTTCTAACGTCTTTCCCCAATTTCCTCTTCAGATAGAAGTTGGTTTATTCTCTTCCACAGTAGGTTGTTGCTGATGGTATCCGACCAACGGACATTGAGTATGTTGTGTAGACAATTGTTTGTAAATACTTGTACATCTTTGATGATGGTTGTGGTAGTTGTGGAAGATGAAGCTCTGAATAGTAGAACTGTCTTGACGTTCGTATTGAAGATTCCGACTTCGATGTTGGCTGATAGTTGTTTTGAGTTCCACATGTTATTCAACTGTATGAATGCTGTCCTTGTTTTGCCGATCGTTTCATTTACATCTGAATCGGATCCTTCTTGTTCATCGACGATGCTGCTGACCAGTTACATGTAGGATTCTACCTATTCCAGAGTCTCTCCATCAAATGTGATTGGATTGGTGTTCTTCGAGTTGTATTTGAGGATGTTACTTTTTCCCTTGTGTATGTGGAGACCTACTGATGCAGAGGCTTCCATTACACTGGTTGTCTTGACCTTCATTTGTTTGTGTGTATGGGATAGAAGGACTATGTCATCTGTGAAGTCCGAATCGTCTAGTTGCATGCAAGCTGTCCATTGTATTCCGTGTTTATTTTGAGATGTGGAGGTCTTCATAATCCAGTCAATCACTAGTAGAATGAAGAAGGGGGAGAGTAGGCAGTCTTGTCTGTCTCTGGTCCTCACTTGGAATGAGTCTGTCAGCTGTTCTACATGCATGACTTTGCAGTGTCGTCTGTCGTATGAATTTCGTATGGTGCTGGCAATCTTCTCAGGCACATCATCGTGTGGGAGAAGGTTCCACAAAGTCCTCCTCTCCACACGACCAAACTCCTTCTCTTAGTTAATGAAGTTGATGTATATTGATAAATGCCATTCATGTGGAATCCAGCCTGCTGATCTCGAAGATGAACGTCTACTGAATCTTTCATCCAGTTCAGCAATACTTGAGAACTTTTCCCAGTAATGATAGCAGTGTGATGTCTCTGTAGATCTCACATTTGCTCAGATCTCCTTTTTGGTGTGGTAATGAGATATCTTTCTTTCCAGTCTGTCGGCACTTGTTCTTCCTCCCAAATTTTCCTGAATAAAACGTGGAGCATGTTTGCAGTTGCTTCTCTGTCTGATTGTAGTGCTTTAGGTAGTATTTTGTCATGTTCTACTGCTTTTCCACTCTTGATTTGTCTGATGGTCATTGTGATGTGTTCGGTTGTTGATGGAATGATATCTATAGGTAAGTCTGTGTGTGCTTCTTCTATTTGCGGTGGGTCCAATGGAGCTGGCTTATTTGAGAGTTCTTCACAGTGTTCTACCCATCTGTTCCTTTGTCCTTGAATCTCAGTGATTGACTTGCCTTCTTTGTCCTACACTGGTCTCTCCGGTTTACTATGTTTCCCTACCAGTTCCTCCGTTGCGTCATATAGTTGTTTGACATTTCCTTCTGTTGCAGTTTTTTCCACTGTGACTGATAGGTCTTTCGATGTTTGGGTCTCCCATCAGGATGGTCGAGTCCTTTGCTGAGCACTTCGCTATGATTTATTACAGCCTCTCGTAAAACTAGTCTTCGTCGTTTTCATTGCCATCATTGATGAGTGCATAACATTGGAGAACATTCATTGTGATTTGATCCTTCTTTGTTTTGAGGGGTGGTTTGATGATCCTGGGTTCATGAGATTCCCATCCTATAAGTGCCTAACATGTTTGTTTGGAGAGCATCAGAGCCACTTGTTGAGTGTGTGGATCATTTTCTTCTTCGTGACCAGAGTACGAAAGCATATTCCCTGAATCTAATATTTTCTGTCCAGTTTGTGTTCAATGGGTTTCATTTGTTCCGAGAACTGACGAGTTGTATCTCTTCCTTTCCGTAGCTAGTTGATTGGTTCTCCCATTTACATACATTGTCCGAACATTCCATGTTCCTATATAAATTGTTGCTGTGATTGTTAGAAGGGGCATGGGCTTTGTGAATTTAGAAGGAGATACATGTAATGAAATTTAGTACATAAACTATTAAACTATAATTTAATCAATAAATAATTCCACTGACTGACTGATGTGCACAATTTGCTTATTTTTCATTTTTTTTCTTTCCTTTTCTCAGGAGATTCTAAAATTCGTCATCATTCTGGTGATGAATATATTGATGATTTAACACCAGAGGATATTGCGAAGTACAAACTAGAAATCAATATGGATGTAAGTTAATGATATATCTTTATCTATATCTATCTACCTATATATATATATATATATATATATATATATATATATATATATATATATATATATATATATATATATATATATATATATATATATATATATATATAACTTTTAATCTCTACGCGGCTATCAATTGACATGTTCAAGTTCATTTTAAAAACATTTATTCACACTATAAACATGTCAATTTATAAATTTTTGAATGAACTACTTTACAAAATGACTAATTTCATCTATCAAAGATTGTAGTTGTGACATTTTCAGCCAAACTATATTTGATCATAGTTCCATAAATTGTCTTAGTCATGTGTTTTTTAAAACTATGAGTAACCTATTTTCTTTGACATCACATAGTGTTTGTAAAAATTAGTAACCATCTGATTAAGAGTACAATGATGTTAATCATGATTTTATTTACAAAAATACAAGATGAATACAATGTTACAACTATTTACAGTTTTATTTTCATAATATTAATAAAGTATTTATCAAATAATATTACTTAGGTCATCGTCGGAAGTTACTTGATAAAAGTTAAAACATCACTCTTATTAATCGATTAGTTATGAGTTGAACAACATCATAACAAAATGAGCGAAGCCTCTTCAGGATAATATGTTTACTTTTTATTTTATTGTAATATGATCAAATGAATTCAACTTCAAATAGTTAAAATATAAAAATCTAAATACAAAAATCTAGGTTTACATTTTTAAAGGAATATCATTTTCCTCAATTTACTAAATCAAGTTTACTAATAAGTTTCATAAGACATGAAATCTAGATTTTGAGTTTCGAGTAGTTTAATTCGAAAAAAGTTCATCACTATATCGAATTACTTAACCTACCTTTCATGTTATGAAATTGATCCATAGAACTCGATCAAAATCAAGGACCAACCAACATTTTAATGCTTACTTTATAGTAACTGATTAGCGGAGAAAAATCAAGTCTTATACGAGACATTACTATGTCGGGTTTTAGTTGAAGATGATACACAAGGTCACTTTTAGAATATTTTTCTCAACTACTCAGAAAATGAACTATTTTTAGGTGATATATTATAAAGTAATGGGGGAGTTGTTGTTATCTCAGTTAAATAGATCACCAAAATTCATAGAAACAATTTAGACAAATGGTTGTTAACCTGTAAATTACTTCATATTTAACAGATTTCTTTTCTAAAATACTCAGTCGGTTGAGGCTTGATCACTTCACATTTAATACATATAGTCAACGTTTTGTATAACACTGGTTGGTATTCCACAAAGAAATATCATTTCCTATAAAATTGCAGATGTATCTTGTTGATTAGTGTTGCCGAGTACCTTTAACCATTTAACGTGAAAATGTTGTCAACCCTATACATCTAAACATCTGAAAGATAAATTTTTTTATGAGGATAGTTTCATTTTTCGCTGACTCCCGTGCTCCCACGGTGTAAGACATTTCATTTCCATTCACGGATTACTTTCAATATTTATGGAAGAGAACGTTCTAGTGTGGTTTCTTCAAAATAAATTAAATGTTTAGAATAATTTAGACCAAATATTGACACAAATAGTCTACATACTAGCTATAATGTCGTTTTTAAACATGAAAACCGATTAGATATGGCCAAATGTTTGACTTATTAGTGATTTTAGCATCACAATTGATTGATCACTGGGTGGTGATCAACGTCATGCTTGTCTAGTCCTTATTAGTGCAGATCGAATGCTGTCGATCATGTTGCAATGTGGCCACCAGTCTAGGTGACTCGACACTGCGGGCACTATGTATTGAGATTAGATGGTGGTTGAAGGTAGTCAACAGGAAACCCTGGACCCGGATTTCGTGCTACTTGGCACTCGTCAGCAAGGTGTACCTGTAATCTTGAGGGAACGGGTGCTCCACCACCCAGTGATCAATCAATTGTGATTACATCTCAGTCCTACAGGAGGTCAGTCGCGGCTCGGATAGCTCAGTGGTAACGTCTCTGACTATGAAGCTGGGTGATGCGAGATCGGATCCACCAGGGAGCACCAGTTCCCTCAAGATTACAGGTACACCTTGCTGACGAGTGCCAAGTAGCACGAAATCCGGGTCCAGGGTTTCCTGTTGACTACCTCCAACCACCATCTGATTTTAGCATCCTTTCCTAGTTTAATTTTCTCGTGTGTTTAATTTTTACTTTTTATTGTTTCGAATGTCAAATTATTAGATTATCAAAGAATCTTTAGTTTCTCTTGGGAACAAAGACACATTAATTTTAATTAACTTATTCACATCGTTTGATAAATTGTTCATTTAACCGTTCGTTAACTAAATATTTTCACTAAGGGATTTACGATTTTATCCAAACGTTTTACAACTATTGCCTCGTTCTGATTACGGGTAAATATCAGATAATTATACTATATAATTTTATACATAATAAGCTATTTTACTCATATCCTATTATACCTTTTTTAATATAAAAAAATGAAACCAGTAAAGAATCATTTAGCATCTCATCTGACATGATATCTCTAGTTTATTTATGAATTCTTTGTTAACCTTTCAAAATGGTTATTTGTAAATATTATATTTGTATTATATTCAACACTTGAAATGTATTCATAGATTTTATAATAAATCAAATTGTTTATTAGGGGATTTCTTGATAAAGTTGAAAATGCTTTTCGTTAAAAACTGACACGGCTCCAGAACGATCGAAAATAAACGAGCGTTGAACATCTGTTTCGTCTTTATTCAGAGCATAGCAACAACACTTTAATGAATATGGAATTTTAATTAATTATTACCGAATAGAGATTAAGTATTCGATGTCTTTGAGTAATTTAACTCATATTTAATCTATTTCAACATTCTGAACGGTATCAGTGTATGTCAATAGGCGTTCATTTGACTAGAACTTATATAATACCATACATTTAAGGGAAGTAATATTTATCATGTACATCATTCGACTATATTTTACTCAGGATCCAGGTACTCAGAAAATATTACTTGTCGTTTTAAGTATATGAAAACTAGTCACTTAGAGATAAAGGAAATTCATCATGAATAATTTTAATTTTCATCAACAATCCGTCATTTTTCTGATATCAAAATACTAAACCTTTCCTAGCTTTCAAGTAATAAAGATCGCGTAACTTTCTTATGATTCCTTTACCCCAACTTAAAGAAGTGCTCACAATTACTGTCACTTCAAATGACCTCTGAATATAATTTCTCCATGTCTAACTAGTTTGCTATAGAGGCATGATCTAGTGATTTATTTTATCCCACTTCGAAAATCAACCTTAATTCTTTATGAGCTATCAACTGATGCTTGACAGTGACTTCCTTGTTGCAAATACGAATATAATCGATATAAAGAAGTAAAAAGCAAGGAATATCAAAGTACACTATCATGGACTATTCAGTGATATTTAATTCATAATGTTCATGACTAGCATCGCGGAACATGGGAAATTTAAGCTGTTCGTAAAATAGTTCTCGAAAATACCTCGAATAATGATTGTGCATTTTAAACTAAAAGAACTTATGCATTTCTGAATCCAGTTTGTGTAAGTTTACTAAAAATTATAGTGTAGTCAGAGAAGTTCATGTATTATATTTCTATAAAGCTAAAACAAAACATCACATGAATAATAAATCTAAATAGTTTAATCTATATTTATAACAACTGAGTTTGGTTCATTTCACTGATCTCAAGGCACACGTAATTTCATTTACTGAATAAAAAACTTGTATTTTTTCCCTTTCTTTTAACAAATCCTTGTGCCAATGTTCACTCATATTCATCGTTTTGGACTCCATTTCTATATATGTATATACATATATAATGGGTAATATATTTCTGATCTTATGCATAAACGCAATATAATCTATGCATATTTGATTGCTCTGCTTGTATCCGATACACAATATGAATGAATCCATACTATTATTCGTTGTTGCATTTGTTCTGTAATGGATGATTACTACTCTGTGTAATAATGATTCCATGCTCATTTATGTGCGCTTATCAAATTTTTTAAAATATTTTCCTGTTGTGGATTATATTCACTCAATGTATAAATTATGATTTAATTATGGTTTATTTCATAACACATTACTGACATCTCTCCTTCTTCTATTTCTTTTTTTATCAATCTCTTTCTACTTGAATCATGATATCTTATACACAAATTGTATATGATATGCACAGAATTTCATTGTAGATCGGCCTATTCTACCTGATCCAATATTATCTGTACCATTATCTAAATGGCAATCAGATGATTTATTGTTATTAGTTTCTGATTCGTCAAAAAAATATGATAAATTAAAAAAGATCCCTTTTAATTGTCGTTCTTTTATTAATGAATTTCAGAAACAACCACGCTCTCTACATCATCATTATCAACACCGACCAAATCATCATTACTACAATCCTCCCAATAATCGTTATTATCCACGTCATCATAAACAACCTCAAAAGAATTATTCGAATGCTCATTACACACAATTATATAATTCATCTATGAAAGAGCCAGTTCGTTCAAATAATAAAATACGAGGTTCATACAGTAGCGGATACAATACTAAGCAATATCAAACTGACGAGGTAAGTATTCACATAACAAACTACCAAATATATTTTTCTAACTTATAGACATTTGTTGTACCCTCATTTATCTAGGCACTTCACTTTCAATCATGATTTTGTTAGTTCGAATCCCACATTATCTCCCATGGTAATAGAGTCCTATATTTGAAAGTAATTGTTGCTGAATTCATGTTTGTTAAAATTTAGGTTATAATCATGTAGATTCTATCCATAAGAAAAAAGTTCCAGTGTTGTTCCGAAATACACCATAAACTGATTAACGAAAAATTATAGTTATCCAGGCTGGTTTTGTATGGTAGCTGTAACTGTAAAATTTTAACGTGTCATTATTGAATGCAGTTTCAACATCCTGAAATATCTCTTGGGAAGGTGATAAAAATCACCACAGTAAATCGAACACATATGAGGTAGTAAAACAAATGAATATTTAGTTTGTATTGCAGGTGATAAAAAACTGAACGGAAACATTTATAATCGTTATTCTGAACAACTTAACATTTACACATAGAGCTAAAGATAAATACCGCAGTCAGTTAACATCTTACTTTGATTAGCATTCATAAATCTGTAATGAATTTGAACACTAAAATCTGTTGATGTAGGCTGTGACCCTGATAATCTAATCTGAGTAAATGGTTTATTAGCTAATTTTTTGTGGACTTATGTGGCAGGACTGAATATAGTTGTACTGGATAAGATATTAGATAAATATACAAAACCCTAATGAGTCATCCTAATTCTGTAGGCTACTTTTGTACTGACTAAAATGACTGACACTTAAAAATTACATACATGCACACTCCATTTACAAGTGGTCGATTGTGTTGAATGTCTGTAAAGTAGCGTACATAACCATGTCCGTTCGCAGAGCGGTGATATAATTCCTGTTGGGTTAGTTATCTCAATCGCGCTGTTTGGAACTTTCGTACACTGTACTGGTGATTCGCTACTGTGAACGAAACTATCTCCTTCCTTTTTCACCTCATTAAATAGGGTAAAAACACGTTTGGCAGATGAGGCTCTTTGTTGACTCAGTGTAATCAATCAGACTTGTCGATTGCATATCAATAAAGATATTTACCCTGTTTACCGCCAACACAAAAGATCGTGAGAAATGCATTGAAGTCCAATGAACAGTGATCATACTGACTAATTCACGGTAACATAGTTCCGATTTTCGTAATTTTTATTCGGTGATTGGATATCCTCAACACTATCACAAATATTCAGTTTACATTCAACATTACATATAGCTGACAGTGGGATTTATACTTAATTGTTTGTAAGATGGCATCGCAGTTTAAATGGCATCCGGTTAACCTTTTTACAGACTGGACTATTATGGACAAATCTTTCTTAATTGTCAGTGACAGTACGGTTTAATCATCATTCATGTAAGTTTAGGATCACTATCCTCACTAAGTTTTTATTTACTTCACAAACAATTTGGAACAACTGGACACCCAAAATAATCTGCATCACATACTGAGATTAAGTACCATATTTTTATACGAGATGTCACCAAATGCCATCGATAACAGCATCGTTTCCTTAACCACCACCACAAAAATAAACAGTGCCTGAGTAAAGTAAAAAAAGACCATGAATGGAAATGTGGACTCAGAGGTGTATTCGACCAAGTTCATATATGTGTCCAGTTAGTTGACTACTAAGTGTAACAATTTTCAATCATATTCTATATAAACATGTATACGAAATATATTATTTTCTGATGTATATACTGTTTGTAGAGATAGGCAACTATCAATCTAAAATACTTTAATATTCTCATTACAGAAAAACAAGCCTAGGTGTTCCACAAACAATGATAAAATCCCAGTGAGTGGGATGAACATTAGTGAAGACAATCAAGTTGGTACTGATGAGCCGATTCAAACGAACGATCCTACTGAAGATTCCCCATATTTTGAGCTGGACTTTGCTAGCGGAATTTTCGACGTACAAATTCACGAGCGAGCTAGATCCTTTTTAACTCTAGGTATCGATGACAGTGAGTTTTCTCAAAGTGATTGCTACACAAATATATCTGAATTACATACGCATGGAATGCATCGAAGTCACTCTCTTCCGTCACTTAGAGACTTGGAAAGAAATTACCAGCCACATTCATTTGAGGACTGTACAACACCGACGATCAGCCTTAATACTGAAGGAGTTGCAGATTTATCAACGGAAGTTAATGCAGTAACTACCTCAGTAGAAAAGACAAATATAAAATCTGACAATAACGTAAATATATCGAGTGAAAATGTTTGCGGTAGTGATGTAGCACAATAATGCAATAATATGGAGAACGAAAACCGACGATAACGCAATGATCTCCCAAAAATGTAATGTTTGGATCACTAACAGTCAAATGTATAGCCTCATTGTTTCTCTTTACCTCTTCTTAGATTTTTTACTTGTGTGACTTCGAACATGTTTTTACTCACTGATTGTTATGACATCACCTTAACTGCAATGAGATACTTCACTCGCTCCTTTGTGATTATGGAATAACTTGATTAATGATATTGTTTATTATTTGCTAGTTTTCTATGACAAACTTATTGATAAATGAAAGGCCATATCAGTCATATAACATTTTTTCGATTTCTTTAACATTTAAAACATAAACTGTACAAAAAGCTAGAGCGTTAAAACCAATAAGTTAAGAGTTAGTGTATAATGATGATGATACAAGTAGAAATCAGCTAACATTTGAAGAATATAAATTACCAAATTGAATTTTTGAAATATCATGCACGCAAGTGTAATCTGATGCACATAAATATTCTAACAGTGTAGCAATCAGTCAACAGTTCGATTACGTTGGAACATTTAACCATCATATTTTTATTTTCACCAAGTAACTAGTATGTCAAAAGTTATTGTATGTTTGACTACAACAAAAAAGAACAAGCATTGCTCTAGTTCACCGTTTGACCCAGTTTTTAGAAATCTTAATCACTGCCGGGTAGACCGCTGTATTACAGCAGCATATTTTTTTAAACCTCGTGATATTTTTTTCAATTATTTTAAAGCAAAAGATTATTTTTCCGACAGATTTTTTTCTTGGGCCTGGAGAACGAGCAAAACACACACATACATACAAACTATTTTAGTCAAACAACGACTAACATTCTGACAGACAGTCACTCAGCTCAAATAAAAAACATGATAGAATATGCTCTACAAGTAACCTAGCTAATGACGAATCGTTACACGTCAGAATATATGAGTGCATCTAGATACACACAAACATACATACATTGCATAAGTTGAAATTTTATAATTTTAGTTCAAAGATTATACAGAAAACGCTTCAGGTGGAATTTTGCCAGCTGAATTCATAGTTTCGAAAGCAGTTAGTGCAGCATTCGCATTCCATTCATACTCTTCTAGACACTGTCTTGAAAAGGGAATGTTCATACCGGTGCGCCGACTAAATTCAATTACCATATTTTCTTTTACTTCAGGTGCAGAAAGATCAGAGCTGAGAACATTTTGCTGTTGATTTGAGGCCTGACTGTCCTGTTTGCATCTTGTAGCCATTTCAGTAATGTATTTCTAAAATAAAGTTTTCAAGTTAGGAAGCAATTATTTGAAGTTTAAATTGACATCATTATTATTTTTATCTGATAGGGTTATTTAAGACTAAAAACGAGATCGTTCATTTTCAAAACAGCTTAGTAGTGTTCAACATTTTCATAATCCAATTTTCGACTAAACTAGCTACAATAAAACAATTTATTATCACTGATGCTAGTTTTATAACATGCAGAATAATGATACTAATAATTATTCAGCACTACGCGATGTTCTTTCTTGTCCTGCTTCTTTACAATTGCTGTAATTTTGCCTGTGGCAATATTTAGCACTATGAATTTAGTTAACTTCATCAAGCAGAAAAGTTCAAAAGCTAGAGACTAGTGGGACTCTTATAGAAAAGATGGGACAATGATTCAAGTTATGACTAAGTGAGTGAGACGATGAGTGGAACGTTTTAAAGAACTCTTCAAATGGATTTTATCTACTTTGTGAATGCTTATGGTCTAAATGACTGGAATAAGACAGCAACTTTCAGCGAAGCAGAGAAAGGTATAACTAGGAGTTAGAAAATAACAAGTCGTAGAGGGTTAATTTGAGTTGTTCAGTTAGATTGATGGAGATGTTATATAGAGTTTAGGGGTTGAACGTCATTTCATCTGACTGCTCTTGACCTATGATCATTTCACTTGATAAAGAATGACTGGGAACAGTAAATCTAGAACAACCAATCAAGTTCCAGATCACGTTATTGGTAAACTGACCAGATGTTAACTCCACAACCATTCCTGAAACATTTTCTTACTCATCAGAATCCGACTGAACTCATTTTCATTTAATTAGAGACGACTCTATAGATTTAGATAATGCGGCATAACTAGGTACGTGAGCCTACGAAAAACACTTTATTCAAAAACTACTATTTGAGAAAAAGACTATTGTAAGGAGTAATATGAGCCAAAGTCAGTCAGTAGTCAGTCAGTAACAACGTAGAACTTCGTACGTACGTACATCAGTTCGAGTTGCCACACCACATTAGCACTGAGATGCAGTGGTCGATTCAAATCCCGTAGTGGTAGAGGTAGCAAGAGTATAAGCAGTAATCGGGAAGATTAGGGTTTGGAGATGTTATTTAAAGAGTATAATCCAGTGAAAGAAATTTGGAAAGAGGGAAAAAGGGACATGAAGAATTCAGAAGATTAGAATTTGGGAGAACACAGAGAGTGGATGCACCTGCGCCATTGCAAACGATTTTGAGCCATGTCATTCAGGGTCTCTAACCATCGGTTGCTGTCATCTCGCGGTCCCCAACCAGGTAGTCTACACCTACCAACATGACTCAGTTCACTTGTCAGTGACTTCATGGACTTGTGCCATGTTTTGGTTTAGCCGCCCCTAGCTTTCTTCCAACCTACTCCTACACCACTGAACATAGCACGTCGAGGCAGTCGGTCGTTGGGCATACGTAACACGTGTCCCAGCCATCTCAACTGATGAAGTTTCACTACGTCATCAATTGATTTTCCATCCTTACCTAGTACCCGTTTCCTAACAACTGCATTACTTACTCGATGGTCCCAGGATATACGAGCAATATTTCGAAGACACCTATGATCAAATACTAGTAACCTACGAATATCCTCTACTCTTACCGGCCATGTTTCACTGCCATAAAGAAGGACGGAACGAAATGCTGTGCAGTAAACCCGTCCTTTGGTTGATAGACGGATATCTCGCCTACGCCATAAATGACGCAAGTTGGCAAAAGCTCGTCGAGCCTTCTGTATCCGTGCTGAGATTTCGTCACAAACCAGACCACAAGGGCTGATGAGACTTCCAAGATAAGTGAAGCGATCGACACGCTCAATTACTTCACTCCCTATCACTAGACGAGCCAAAGACATTTGGTGTCTGTCGACTATTTCTTTTTCCCTTTTTTCATGGACATATCTCTAGGGTTAAGACTTTTTTTGTTTATTTATGGAGGAATTTATGAATTTTAAGAATTGATTAAAATCTGGTCTGGATTCATATCTGAATTAACTATAGTGAGTGAAGCAGTTCAGAGTATTGACTATATCATTTACCTTGGGAGTCCCTAGTAAGTTAATGCCTAACGAAATCTCGGCACGTCTATAAATAGCTCACTTAGCTTCCATTGATTCGTATAAATTCTGGTCCAGATGAGATTAACCTATCTATTGAAGAGGATATACTGATAATCAGTTTGCTTCATGTTTACTTATGGTTATGGAATATAAATCAGTCCTAGGAGTTTGACGATAAGTATGTTTTCAGAATTCCGTGAGTATAGTATAAGGGTTGTAAACAATTGTGTGAGTTGTGACGGGTTGAACACATATCACGCATTAGTCTGTAACTGATCGATTACTGCGTTAAAGTTGCAACCGATTTAGATCAGCAATTTCACTATAATACCTTATTGTGGTTTTAAACATTTTAATAATATATAATTTATTTGTATACATCTATTGAAACGTGCATCGAGCCAAAGTTTTTCACATAGTTTGGCTTATAAAGTGCTGCAAGTATATGCATAACATGGGAAATTTCTTCGTAAGAACAAATGCGACGATATTTAAATTAGCAGCGTTTACCTTACACAAAGAGGTAGTTGGATTAGACACAATATAATCATCTTGCACTATATGACCACCTGGTGCGATCAGTATCATAGTTCTAGTAAAACACCGAAGGACTTTGCGAACAGATTTTTCGTGTGAGCTTGAGTTGGTGGAACTTGAACCCATAGAAGAAACCTCGTAAAAAACACCACCCATTGTAAACAACATTTGAGTTCCCTGTGAATGATGCAAAAATAATATGGAATACAAATTAGTATCAAGGTATAAAATTCCGCATGTAACATTTTCTAGAGTTACTGCAGTAAAACAATTCAGTAGAAATCAATCTTGACAAAAAAGCTGACCAGAATAAATAAATAAAATTATTTAAAACACTGCCCTGTGAGCTAAGATCTTCATATAAAAGAGATAAAACGCCTTATGGTGAAAGCCGTGATTAATCGGAAGTCACAAAGCCCATGCCCCTTCTAACAATCACAGCAACAATTTATATAGGAACATGGAATGTTCGGACAATGTATGTAAATGGGAGAACCAATCAACTAGCTACGGAAAGGAAGAGATACAACTCGTCAGTTCTCGGAACAAATGAAACCCATTGAACACAAACTGGACAGAAAATATTAGATTCAGGGAATATGCTTTCGTACTCTGGTCACGAAGAAGAAAATGATCCACACACTCAACAAGTGGCTCTGATGCTCTCCAAACAAACATGTTAGGCACTTATAGGATGGGAATCTCATGAACCCAGGATCATCAAACCACCCCTCAAAACAAAGAAGGATCAAATCACAATGAATGTTCTCCAATGTTATGCACTCATCAATGATGGCAATGAAAACGACGAAGACTAGTTTTACGAGAGGCTGTAATAAATCATAGCGAAGTGCTCAGCAAAGGACTCGACCATCCTGATGGGAGACCCAAACATCGAAAGACCTATCAGTCACAGTGGAAAAAACTGCAACAGAAGGAAATGTCAAACAACTATATGACGCAACGGAGGAACTGGTAGGGAAACATAGTAAACCGGAGAGACCAGTGTAGGACAAAGAAGGCAAGTCAATCACTGAGATTCAAGGACAAAGGAACAGATGGGTAGAACACTGTGAAGAACTCTCAAATAAGCCAGCTCCATTGGACCCACCGCAAATAGAAGAAGCACACACAGACTTACCTATAGATATCATTCCATCAACAACCGAACACATCACAATGACCATCAGACAAATCAAGAGTGGAAAAGCAGTAGAACATGACAAAATACTACCTAAAGCACTACAATCAGACAGAGAAGCAACTGCAAACATGCTCCACGTTTTATTCAGGAAAATTTGGGAGGAAGAACAAGTGCCGACAGACTGGAAAGAAAGATATCTCATTACCACACCAAAAAGGAGATCTGAGCAAATGTGAGATCTACAGAGACATCACACTGCTATCATTACTGGGAAAAGTTCTCAAGTATTGCTGAACTGGATGAAAGATTCAGTAGACGTTCATCTTCGAGATCAGCAGGCTGGATTCCACATGAATGGCATTTATCAATATACATCAACTTCATTAACTAAGAGAAGGAGTTTGGTCGTGTGGAGAGGAGGACTTTGTGGAACCTTCTCCCACACGATGATGTGCCTGAGAAGATTGCCAGCACCATACGAAATTCATACGACAGACGACACTGCAAAGTCATGCATGTAGAACAGCTGACAGACTCATTCCAAGTGAGGACCAGAGACAGACAAGACTGCCTACTCTCCCCCTTCTTCATTCTACTAGTGATTGACTGGATTATGAAGACCTCCACATCTCAAAATAAACACGGAATACAATGGACAGCTTGCATGCAACTAGACGATTCGGACTTCACAGATGACATAGTCCTTCTATCCCATACACACAAACA